CCTGGGCAGCCTGTTCCAATGCCTGACCACTCTTTCAGTAATGACATTTTGGCTAATATCCAATCCAAACCTCCCTTGATGCAATTTGAGGCCGTGAAAGTAGTTGGAGGCCAGGAAAGTCCTCAGGGGAGGTATCAAATTTGCTTGCCCGGTCTATAGTCTTCCTGGGGCTTCTGCTGGTGCTGAATACAGGACAGACTCGCATCCCACCATACCACCATTCTGCCATGGCCCATAGCTGCCTATAGCACCAACATAGCCACGAAAGCACATGGTTGTTTACCGTGGTTTCCGCCCACTGGGACAGAAACATGCTTGATTTTTAAGACAGGCAATTTATGGTACAAAACAAACCATGGTTAGATGTGAAGTCTCTGTGCCTGTTTTAACACTCTGTCCTTTGTGTTCACGGTTGCCTGCCTCTGTCACCCCTGTTTTCACAAAAGCAGCTGAAGGTGGCTCTTGGGTGGAAGAGCAAAAGCTTTGGGCACCATTAACACAAGGAAACGCAAAGTGAGAGGCAACAGGCTGGCCATTCCTGGAGGGTGACCAGCGAGGAGATGGGGTACTTTGGAAGTAGGGAGGCTTATCTTGCAAAGCCCTGGAGTCATGGCACGCAGGAGTACCCGCAGGATTAGGAAAAAGGGGAGGTTTACTCCGTGGAGCAGGACAATGAAGGATTTCATTGCATCTTTCTGCTCAGTTTTTCATTTTTCATTGGTGACTGCACGACAAAACATCTCGATGTTGAAACAGAGCAGTAATTCAGGTGTCTCTGGTTCTGCGTTGTCTCTCTGGCTGCGGCTGTCGGGCAGGACTGCATCTCCTGGCCTACACTGGCCTGGCTACCCTGGAAGCCACCAGGGCTGGCAGGTGTGTTACAGGGACAACACAGCCACCAAGCATGATGCACAGAGAGCAGAAACAGGAGCCTGTGGGTGAAGGTCGTCCTGCAGGTGAAGGCATGGGAGGAGCTCGGAAACTGCTCTGAAGTGGTCAGCTTTTGCAGAACATTAGAGGTGGCCCGTAGGCATGGTGGCTTCCAGGATTTGATGGCCCCCTGTGCACGGTGGTTAACGGGCACAGTGGCCTATAGGCACCGTGAGCATGGTGATTTTTGGGGCGCAGTGGCTCCCTGGGCACGGTGACCCTCTGGGCACAGTGTTTCCCAGGGCATGGTGACCCTGAAGGCGTGGGGGCCCATGGGCACTTTATCTCCCCGGGCAGGGCGGCCTGTGCGCACACTGTTTCCCAGGATTCGGTGGCTCCCTGGAGACAGCAGCCCATGGGTGGGCACAGGTAGACATGTGGTGGCCCCTTGGGGACAGTGGCCCGTGGGCATGGCGTTCCCCAGGATCTGGTGGCTCTCTGGGGACAGAGACCCCCAGGGCACAGTGGTCCAAGCCCTCGGAGATACAAGCCCTCAGAGATCCAAGCCCTCAGTGGCAGCTGTTCCCTGTCCCCCCAACCT